ATGACAGATTTTGCCCAAATGGTTAATATTATAGTACAACCTTCCATTGCCACCATCACTGCAAACGGCACCGTTTCCTGCAGTTTAAGGTTACTCATCATCCACATCACTGCTTCTAATTACTCCCTCTCTCTCTTAGTTTTGCATCAGCTAAAAAAGCTAGCAAGTTTATAAGAAGAAGAAAAATGGCTCTCTCTCTCTCTCTCTCTGTATGTATGTGAAGACAGGTAGAAGGAGGGCAGCCCTTCATGAAAAGGTGAAGCTACTTGAAAAGGTGAAGTAGCTACTCGGATGTATACTTATCATTACAATTATTATTAATACAAGGGAGGCTGACCTATTTTGGACCAAGGTTTCTTATAAATATTGATTTCCTTTTTGGACAAAATTATTTGGAGAAATTTCTGAAGTGCATCTGTTATACTAACATGTGAAGTTATCAATTTACTCATATTCTAACACATGTATTTTTTTAGTATGATTGTTATACTAGCATATGATATTACTAATAAGAGTACATGAGAGAGATACCGACACGTGATATCACTAATTTACATGTTATAATATATATGACTGAATGACATGATTGATATTTCATAAACATTGAGTTTAATATTAATAAATAAAAAAACGTGTAAAAATATAAATGAATTAGAAATATTACGTGAACATTAAAAAACTTCTTCAACTATAAATGAATTAGTAATATTACGTGAACACTAAAAAGCTTATTCGACACAAACGCATGTTAGCCACTCATTTGCCCCTCAGTCTATCAGTTTCTTAGTGCTCCTTTATGAGCAATTCAAATTTAATAACTTGTTATGATGATGTGTTATGCCACCATTATAGACTGCCTTACGATTTTTTTTTCCTTTATATTTCAATGCTGGAAAATAGTTGTTCTGGCCTCCACTCCTGGAGATTTCATTACAACATTTCAAACAACCTTGCCAAGAAATATTGTTAATTTAAGCTAATAAGTCCACCTAATTACTCAGCTATAAGTTTATAACAAGGATCAACGGTGGTGTTTTCGTTTTCTGATAATATTTCGATGTGATTTTATGTCAAACTTTAACCTCAGCTAAGTCCCCCGGAGTTACTGAGAAAATAGCACTAACTCTTCCTTAACTACTTTCTCCTGCATTATTGTTCTTTAAGGAAAATGGCAAATTCTTGAGCTGAATTCCACAACCTCATTTCAACAGATTAGCAAATTTCCACAACCGAATTCCCAATTCCTTGAATACGTTTATCTGTCCAGATAACCCTGTATTTTAATTTGAACTTACCTAGCAGGATATCGAATTTGAAAGTACGAAAAACTGATGCTCACACTACTAATTCTGTATTCCATAGTTGGAATATGGTATAAGATTGTACAATTTTCTTATTGTATTTGATTAAACAGTGTCAAACAATCAAATATGTTCTTCAATAACTTTGGCCTTTGCCATCACATTTCCTCCCGCCAACCCTAACTACAACATTCTTACCTTATTTTCTACTACTTCTGAAGAAGGATATACATCTGCTTGTTCACTTCCAAATAAGGAGTTGCTTTCCACAAATATGCTATGTTGTTGCTCTTAAGGCAGCTTTGACCCTGTAAACTCAATGTTCAACTCCTGCTGCTGGTATCTTTGATCATGCTCCCCACATTCATGGTGATCCTACATTATCCATGGAAAATCAACTGTTATTTCCTATTTAATGCTCTTTTCGAAAACTTCTCCTGTCAGGGCTGCGCGTGTTATGAAGAAAACCACCAAAACTAACAAGAAAACTAGCTTAAAAAATAGTATGCAGTGAAACATCAAACATATATATATGCATATGCAACTCATTGGAAAAGTCAGAAGAAATTTGTCAAAATATATGAACCACATCTACAAATAATTTAGAAACGCTTTAGTAGTTCAAAAGGTTAATTAACGACAAGGCAATGAAGCTGCCTCCTCATGAAATGAGAAGCCAGATAACGTAAGGTTCATAGAACTGGCATTGTCCTTTTAGATTTCTACTCTCTCCTGGACAATATTTAAAATGAGACAGGGGAGCCATAATATTTTGTCAGTAGCAGTGCCAATAGGCACGACATGCTTCACATGGTCATTCACCTTTGTAGCAAATTTGCAACTATGCCCATTTACACCAACATACTGCGTTTGAATGAATGTATGCAGGATTCCGATGACAAATGGATCTTCATTGTGCCCGCACACGGCCTGAGCAAATCAATTCCTACAATAACCTATCCCAATTTTCGAGAATCATGGAAAGGGCAGCATTCTAAAAGAACTAAGACAAAAACAACACAGACTTACCCTTTTTTTGGCAACTGCAAAAAAAAAACGTCTATATTTCTTCAATATGGCTTTGCAATAGAGGGACCCGTTGTTTGCTCGATGCCAGGCTTCCTTCCCCTGCATCATCACCCCTCTTCTCTTCATTGGCTTTCCCCACATCACAGAATAAAATCCAATGACAATAACAACTGCTCCTATCAAACTGCAGCATTCAGTAAATGTAAACTGAGAAGCTAAATGGTGTCCCTTTTGCAATTTTCAACACGACCAAAATTAGTGCCTCTCAATCGACGACATTTTGATATGGAGGTTACAGGGAATAAAGATTAAACCCTACCTCCCAAGGTAGAAAGTATCACCTAAGAAGGTAACACCAATGAAAACTGCAACGACAATCCCCAAATGCTTGAACATAGCTGCAAACACAGGCTCTGTCCTTCTAAGACACCAAGTAGATACACCAACCTGGAATGCTGAGCCAAACACTCCCTGCAATAATATAACTTAGCAACTTAGGTTCATGTGTTAGAAATATTACATCCAAAAGGTATATCAGGGCTGGGTTTGGTTATCTAATTACCAAGTATAGAACAGCGATCCACCTGATTTTAGGTGTTAATTCCCATGAAATCAGGTCTCTTTCTACAATTGAAGAACAACTACAGATTGAATAGCCACAAAGAAGCAATAATTAAAAACCATGATCAGCTCTGCGCGGTATTTCTTTAGAACTGATGCCTGAAACACAGAAATTAAATAGGAAGTACTCTTAGTTTCTAACCAAATTCCACACTTTCAAGAGGTTTTAAGTAAAAGTTTACAGATTTCACCTGTACAATAAGCCAAGATGCGGCCAACATGCAATTAGCTGCGACACACACTCCTCCAAGGACCCAGTTTGACTGTTCGGATAAAAGTTGCTTTTGAGACAACATATCAGTCATAACAGTTGAGGATGTATTCAGAATTGGGGGTCCCTTGTAAAGAGTCACAATGAAAGCCCCTGAAATTGAAACTATTGTTCCCAAGGTTTTAGCTAGGCTACTGAAGCTTCTCACGTCAATTCTTTCCATTCTGAAACCAGGCATTTGAACGAATTTAGAAATCAGTGATGGTGTAAGATTACCATTCTACCAGTGTCTCAGAATTGCGTTGTACAACTCTTGTCTGGAATGAGAGAGAGCTCATCATCAGCTAAATTCTCCTTGGAATAAAAAAACAAGATAATCAATATATTAACACTGGTTCTTCTACAAAACCTAAGAACAGAACAGGTACTCATAACTAATGCTCAGGTTTCATTAACAAAATAAGACGATTCTGATAAAATCACACTTCAGAATAAAGAAACAAAAAGGGAAGCATGTCAATTGGCCAGAGCAGTTTACCGCCCGCTTGCACCTGAGTTCGAATCCCCATCCCAATGAATTATCAATTAACAGTAGCTTAAAACATCGGTTTGGCAAAAGATAAAAAAACATGGAGGTTGATCACAATTTTCGGTTTGAGTAAAAAGAGGAGGGTATAACCTGAAGATAACTGCAAGTACAAAGGTAAAAGCAGGAATGAGGTTGAGCATAGCTGTACTAAGAGTAGGAGAGCTATATTTAATCCCAGCATAACCAAGAAACTGCGCCATGAATCTGCAAAACTCTTGAAATTATCAATCAAACCCATTAATCAGTAATCACCCACCAACAAATTAAAAATGCAACCTTTATTAATTCTCACATAGGATTTTTCATCAACGGATGTAATTCTTAACTTACCCAATTAGACCAAGCAAGAAGAACCAACTGATGATCGAGAAAGTGAGAGGAGGGCGCTCAGATCTACCAAGAACACATAAGACAAGAGCAAAGAAAGAAATTAACTTTATGATCAAAGTAACAAACCACAGTGACAAATCAAACCTTTGGATTCTGGTAGTTGAGAAAAAGTGAGATTTAATTACTTGTGGAAGGCTAGAGAAATTGGGAGGAGGATGAGGGTGGGGAGGGCATTGGAGTAGCAGAGAAAGATGAGGTTGCTCATGCCATTAGACATGGCTATTTTGCTTATTATAATTAGCCCAGCTTGTGCACACTCACCCAACACCATCCCAACAATTGGTAGTGCTGCAATCTTCCCCATAACTCCTTTATTTTTTTTGTTCTTCGATCTCAGAACCAGAATTTTTCACAGCAAGATGCAGACATGGAGTCCTAATGTAAGACAAGCCTTGAATCCATTTAATCGATGACTTCACCTGGTGCACCCATTTGCATGGTCATAGTGTAGTCAAGTGGGCGGGACGTCGTTTGTTTTTTGTTTAAACTTTAGACTAAAATATAATTATTTTTTTATATGCCCAATGAAACTCAACTTCAATCTCATTTTCTTTTTGGAACAAAATTGCGTAATCTTGCATTCTGAAACTCAAGATTCGTTCTAGATTCCTAAGATTCTATTGATTTTTTAAAAATGAGATGGAATGTGCTTACGTGGAAGGGTAAAAAAATAATTTTGAGTTTCATAGTAAAATGATAATTCTGTCAAAAAGAAACTTATAAATGCCAATCATAATAAAATTACCATTTTACCCTTTCACGTCAATACATTCGTCTCTTTTTTAACATTGACAGATTCCCATTTGCATTTCAACTAACTTGTCCTCCTACCTCATCAACTATAATAAGGAGACTGATAGTTCAGAAATTTATAACTAATCAAAAAACAACAAATAATCTGCAATTTTTTTATTTCAAACAAATAATCTTCAATTAATAATGTCATTAGTTTACATAGAACACTTGTGCACTACTGCTTCTCTTGTAAGCCGTTTTGTAGCAAAGGGAGCTTGTTTTGGTCTAGTGATTCGATTTCGATCAGCTTCTCTTCTTTGGCCTTTCCCCACATCATGGCATAAAATCCAGTAACAATTATTGCTGCACCAACTAAGCTGCAAAGATGTTATATAATCAATTATCATTAATTAATTTGCTGATAAGAATTTTCTCTTAATCATCAACCCGATTTTCTAACAAGCCAAAGACTTTCCCACCCAGCAGCTTTCACCAACTTTCAATGATTCAACCAAAGAAAAATCAAATAATTGAACGGGACAAGTTTAGAGCTCTTTTGATAACTATTTCATTTTTAGTTTTAAATTTTCACTATTTGTGCTTGAGATATCAAGTGAGAATAAGTAACAGGTTGAAACAAATTATATGTATATTTATACCTTCCAAGATAGACTGAATCTCCCAAAAATATGACACCCATGATCACACCAAAAATGATTCCAAGAGGCTTAAACATAGAACAATAAAAAGCTCCAGCCTTCTTCACACACCAGGTGACTAAACTGTATCGGAGAACCGTCGAAACAATTCCCTGTAAATGATCGTACAAAATTTAACTTATAACTATGAGCTGTAAAAAATCTTTTACTTTGAGCTATGAAAAAAAAAAAGAACTCTAATTTGCTTACTGTGTATAAAATAGCAATGATCCCCACATCCAGCCTTATTTCCCAGGCACTTGCACCTCTAACTGCAATTAAAGTAAATGCTGCAGACTGCATGGTCGCGAATAAGCATTGGAAAAAGACAATGAACACAATTGCAGGGTACTTCTTAACGATTGTTGCCTGCAACATTTGGAATTATAGAAAGAAAGAAAGAAAGAAATTGTAATTTAATTGGTTGTTATTTGCTTTCAGCTCTATAAAAGGGTAACCGAGTAACACCTAATTACCTGCAGAATGTACCATAAAGAAGTTGACAAGGCGTCAGCTGCAAGAAAAAACCCTCCAAGGATCCAGTTTGATTTCGATGAGGAAAGGATCAGTTGGTTGAGTAAACTAGCAAGTGATGATGATAGCCGTATGATTGGTAGGCCTTTGTAAAATGTTACAACAAATGCTCCTGTGATTGATACTATGGTTCCCAAAACTTTTGCTTGGCTGCTTGAGCTTCTCCAGTAAACTCTTTCCATCCTAAAGTTAAACCACCCAATACTTTTGAAAAAAAAAAAAAAAAGGAACCACCCAATATTTGAAGCAATGCATGTTGATTACTTCTTATATAACACAACAAAAGTTATCAAGTTCCAGAACTTTGTTTTAATAGTATGAGTAAAATTCCCATATGTTGAAAAATTTCATATATGATACACGTGTTCTCACATTTTTCACACATTTTTCAATAGTACGAGTAAAATTTACATATTATTGAAAGGACTGTAATTGAAATTTCAGAATAATTCAAAAAAAAAATTATCGAATAATACACATACATATTCTTTTCATATTTTGTTGCTGTCTTACATTCTAATTGGATTTTATAACCAACTATAAAAACAGAGTTTAATATTTTTGGTCTGTCTTTTTTTTATTATTGATCTTTAGTCAGTTATACAGTACTTGCCCTCGATCAGTTACAGTGAAAGAACTCAATTATTTGGTCCCCAAATTCAAAACAATACTATTATTCTCAGTATCAAGAAAGTCAAAAGAAAAGAAAAAAAGCAGAACCTGAAAATGATGGCAAGTATGAAAGTAAAAGCTGGAATGAGGTTAAGCATGGCCGTGCTAAGTGTGGGAGAGCTGTATTCTATGCCAATATTTCCAAATATTTGCGATGTACAACTGCACATATATGTTGAGTAATTAAATTTCTAAGAAATTGGTCTGTAGAGTGGAGTTGCGTGTTAAATTAATTAGTGTATATGTTACCAACCAAAACAGTGCTAGCAAGAAGATTTTGCAGAGGATGGAGAATGTAAGGGGAGGGCGCTCCGATCTGCCAATGGCCAGAAAATCTCAGCAAGAAGAAAAGAAAGAAAAAATGTGACACTTTATCGTCGAATATTATTCAAGATTTCAAAAAGACAGAGTAGTAAAATGTGTATGATTGATCAAATAATATCTACGAAAAAGAAAAGAAAGAAATTCTGTAGAATTAACCTGTGGAAGATGAGAGCGGAAGGGAGAAGAATGAGGGCGGAGACGGCGTTGGCATAGACGACGATTATGTAGGCGTTGGTCCCTTTGGACATGGCTGCTTTGTTTACCACCATACTCCCAGTTTGAACCATCATCGCGATCACCATTCCAATAAATGGCAGAAAACCCTCAATGCTCATCTTATCTCTTTCTCTCTCTCTCTCTCCCTCAATGCTCATCTTATCTCTTTCTCTCTCTCTCTCTCTCTCTCTCTCTCTCTCTCTCTTGAAACTGCAGAGTCACAAAAGACACACATGCAGATCCCGCATCCCTGCAAATTACTTACAATCTGCTACAGTCGTTTTGTAAATCACTTTGGCCCAATTTTGCCCTGCATATAATCGTTCGAGTGGAGGAAATACATGATTGGCATTATGACAACAGTCAAATCTCTTCCTTTATCAAAAGTTGTACTGTTGGATTAGATGTTAGATATTTTTATCAAGGTTTAAAAAACGCTACCTAGAGCCTAGGCGGCTAGGTAGGGTCTAGGCAGGCGCCTAGACGGCCGGAATTGGATCTTTGCCGGATTCCCTCCCTGGAGATCCTAGGGATCAACGCACATGGACGATTGATAAAAAATCGTGTGGTCATAATTAAATGTTTTTTTTTATATTTTTAAAAGTAAAACAGTTTCGTTTTGCATGAAAAATATAAAAAAGGAAAAAATTGCGGCCACACAATTATTGATCAACGGTCCGTGTGCGCTGATCCCTAGGATCCCCAGGGAGGGGATCCGGCGAAGATCCAAATCCTAGATGGCCTAGGCGGATTTAGGTAAATTTCTTGTATATCTTGTAAATAAGTGCATAATAACACTTATAAAAAATTATACTTGTATGAAATCCATGAATAAGACAATAAAAGAATAATAAAATGTAAAAAGAGTATCAACAAATTCAAAATTTAAAAACACATTAAGCATATATGCCATCTAACTTAAGACATTTTGAATGATAAAAAATAAGTGGATGTAGAAAGCAAAGTGGCACACTAGGACGCATAAAGATGGGACTATACACCAATACTCAATGGTAATGACATTTTCAGCCTGACACCCCGTCATTTTTTATGAGAAAAATCAATATGGGACTGATAGCCTATGGCTTTTCACAAAAAGCAAGCAACTTGATGCTAGCTATCCAAACTTGATCGGAGAGAAACCAAGAAAAAAAATAAAATAAGAAAAGTATGCAAAGTGGTCACTTGGTCTGAAAGGAAGAGAGAGAAAGTCATTTCTCATCGTCTTCGTCTTTTCCTCTTCGCCAAACCGAGAACTAGAAACCCAGAAAGGCAAGAATGTAGCTAATCTGCATTCTTGAAAACAAAACAAAACTAAAATTCCTAGACCTCCTAGACCACTCAGTCGTCCGCCTAGGCCGCCTAATCCCTATCCCAATTTTGAGTTAATTCCCGCGACCGACCACCATCCAATGCCTAAGCCCATTTTTAAAACATTGATTTTTATGCGTAATATTTAATTAATTAAAGAATTTTAAAGAAGTTTTATGTTAGTCGAGAACGACTAACATCAAACAAGTTTACCACCATATTATCATGTTACTGTCTCGTAAGTTTTACTTCTAATTGGTGAATAATGTGTGATAATTTCAGTTTTGAGCTAAAAGCTGCTTTGTTCTCACCACATTGTGTACTCATGAAACATATTAGACCCTAAAATCCTTTAATTATTTCGTATTGACTCAAGAAATGAGAAGAATAAAAATCCATGCTCATCTTATCTCATTTTCTATCTCTCTCTCTCTCTCTCTCTCTCTCTCTCTCTCTCTCTCTCTCTCTCTCTCTCTTGAAACTGCAGTCATAAAGACAGGTACACATGCAGATCCCAATCCCTGCAAATTACTTTGTCACAATCTACTACAGTAGTTTTTAAAAATCACTTTGTCCCAATTTTGCCCTGCATATAATTGTTCGAGTGGAGGAAATGCACGATTGACATTTTGGCAACTGTCAAATCTCTTTCTTTATCAAACGTTGTATTATTGGATTAGATGTTAGATATTTTTATGCATAATATTTAATTAATTAGAAAATTTTAAAGAACACTCACCCTCATAATTAGGAGAGGCCAATTCCTAGGCCCTCTCATCCTCTCTCAACGCTCTCACTCTCAGAGCTCTCTCTCCCTCAAATCTCTTTCTTTATCAAACGTTGAGAACAACTAACATCAAATAAGTTCACCACCATATTATCACATTATGGTCTTGTAAGTTTTACTCCTAATTGGTGAATAATGTGTGATAATTTCAGTTTTGATTGCTAAAAGCTGCTTTGTTCTCACTACATTGTGTACTCATGAAACATATTAGACCCATGTAAAAACCTTTAATTATTAAGAAAACTAATGAAAGAGGCTTGAAAACTTTGAGTTTTAATGAGAAGGACAAAATAAATGGTAAAGTGAATAGTATCAGGATTGATTTTTTAGTGTAAAAATGTGGTTTTTCGTTAAAGTGAACAGTACCGGGAGCTTTTCATTAAAGTTCCCTTAATTATTTCGTACTGACTCAACAAATGAGTCAGTACAACCGAAAATGTTACAACTAAGTCCTGTCCAATTATCCACTGTCCCCCATCCAAGCATAAAAACCAGTCTTAAAATTACAACTGCTCCAACCAAGCTGCATAAAATTTGATTTCTTCTCATCCACGGCCATCGGGGAAATTATATATATATATGTTGTGATTTGTTGATGCACAAAATCAGTGAGGACTTTGGTACAACAGAAAATGTTAAGTTTATGACCTTTGCTAGATTGCTCCGGTCACTAGTGTGAATAAGTATGTAAATGGATAGGGACAGGGAAGCAAACACAAGATGTACGTGGTTCATCCAGATTGGCTACGTCCACGGAGTAGATGAGTTCTCATTAATTGTGAAGGGTTTACACAAGTACATAGTTTCAAGCTCTCCTTTAGTGAGTACAAGTGAATGATTTAGTACAAATGACATTAGGAAATATTGTGAGAGAATGATCTCTATTTATAGAAGAGAGTTTCTAGTTTCATTCTAACATTGACATGTGTCGTATTGTGATTGGCTTCTAATGTTGACATGTGTCGCGCTATGATTGGCTTCTGATGTCAACATGTGTCGCACTGTGACTGGCCTCCTGGTTGGAAGAAAACTCTTCTGGGTCCTTGACAGTATAACGTTGACCGGTGCTCAGTAGTTTTGGGATTGGTCAAGTATGGTACAAACAGTGCTCCCCTAAGTTCCCGAGTAAGGGAAGCTCATCAGTTGGGAACTTGCAAAATCCAAGCCATTGAGTAATCACAAAACTTCTAAGTACCGAAGTGTGGTATCATTTTCACTTGCCTTATCTGTCTCATATGTAGATGTGGTATCTTCTCTGGAAGTACTTTTCCTCCATCCAGGGGTGGTATCTTTAATCGATGAAGATGCACAAGGTAATGTATCAATTTCACTTGAAGCTTACTTGTAGTTTCGGGCTTGGTCAAGTGCGATACAAAACCCTATAGTAGGAGTCCCCCAAGTCACCGAGCTAGGAGATTTGCCGAAAGAGGTAACAGATAAGGTAAGCAATCAGACTTCCAAGCAAGCAACCTGGATCGGAGGTTTGACTTCGGCTTTTGGTTGATTGTTCTTTTTCTCCTTGTGTCGTAAACAGCAACAAGGATAAGGAGAAGCAAATGGAGAAGAGATGATATGAGATACTTTTGCTTTTGAAGAAGTAACTTTCCACAGGCTTATTCTTGAACTGGGCTGGAGGGTTTTCTGGTTTCCTCCAGAGTATAAGGCCGACTCAAGAATTTGAGGGTTAAAACAAGTCCATCAAATCTAGAGTACATTCGACCCTGATGATATGGGATACTTTTGCTTTTGACAAAGTAGTGGATGTATCGGCACGTGTTCTGTTACGCTTGTCTCCACATGCTTCCTTGTATCCTTCTCACTTGCCCTATCTGTTCCTCAGGCAGATGTGGTATCTTCTCTGGAAGCATAAGATGTTGAAGATGAGTACTCGAGAGCAATGCCAGGTAAGTAATCAGGCAAGGGGTTTCAGGCAGTTAGTTCCTGACTAGAAGCTTGATTCCAAGTGCTAACTGATTGCTCTCTTTCTCCTTGTCTTGTAGGTAAGAACAAGGCCAAAGGAAAAGACAGGGAAAAAGCATGATATGAGATACTCTTGTTTTTAACCCTGATGATATGAGATACTCTTGCTCTGGTGTGGCTGGTTTGCATAAGTATTATTGGGGGGGAAGAAAGCTGAGTATTTCGATAGGCTTCGTTGGGAGTGCCCTCTCAGATATGAGGAATGGTTGAGCATTTTTGCAAGTCTGCCTGTCCGTGGAGGATTGAGGTCGACATATATAGAAGTCTCCCTAAAACCAAGTAGCAATGTTATTCATTTACCCTTCTTGGTCGTAGCAATGTAGTGGGAGCTGCAAGCTTCACGTGTTTTAACTTTGTCAGAGCACTTTGAAAAAGTGGTATGTGGTATCTGGAAAACTGATGTTGCGTGTGAAGATTGCAGACAAGCTTTATCCAAGGAAAACTGGCTCTCGAAGTTCGGAGAGCGATGCCTCTTCGATTTTCGAACAAGCAATCATGTCAGGGATCTAGCTCTTGAGATTCGGAGAACGGTGCCTCTTCAATTTTTGAGAAAGCAATCATGTTGGGAGTCTGGCTCTTGAGATTTGGAAAACGATGCCTCTTCCATTTTTGAGAAAGTAATCTTGTTGGGAGTCTGGCTCTCGAGATTCAAAGGGCGGTGCCTCTTCGATTTTGGAGCAAGTAATAATGCTATTCCTTTACCATTCTTAGTCATAGCAATGTAGTGGGAGCTGCAAGCTTCACATGTTTTAACTTTGTCAGAGCGCTTTGAAAAAGTGGTATGTGGTATCTGGAAAGCTGATGTTGCGTGTGAAGATTGCAGACAAGCTTTATCCAAGGAAATCTGGCTTTCGAAGTTCGAAGAGCGGTGCCTCTTCGATTTTTGAACAAGCAATCCTGTCGGGAATCTGGCTCTCGAGATTAAGAGAACGGTGCCTCTTCTATTTTTGAAAACGCAATCCTGTTGGGAGTCTGACTCTTGAGATTCAGAAAGCAGTGTCTCTTCGATTTTTGAGAAAGTAATCCTGTTGGGAGTCTGGCTCTCGAGATTCGGAGAGTGGTTCCTCTTTGATTTTTGAGCAACCAATCTTGTTGGGAGTGTTTTCTCGAATGTGAGTAAAGGTTGGGCATTTTTGCCAGTCTGCCTTCAAAATTTATGTGTCTAAACTTTGTCAGAGATCTTTGGCAAAGTTATATGCGGTACCCGAGGAGCTGATGTTGTGTGTGGAAAG